AAATTTTGTCCTTCCGAGATTTTTCATCTCAAATTCTTTCATCAAATAGTTTGCGGTCTTTGTGAGCTCTTCAGGAGTTCCCACAAGATTTAGATCATCCACGTAAACCGCAATAATAGCAAATCCACTATTAGATCTTTTGATGAAAACACAAGGACAAACTGGATTATTTATATACCCTTCTTTAACAAGGTATTCACTTAGACGGTTATACCACATTCTTCCGGATTGTTTTAAACCGTATAAGGATCGTTGCAACTTAATTGAGTATAGCTCACGAGACCTTCATTTAAATGCTTCAGGCATTTTAAATCCTTTAGGGATTTTCATATAAAGATCACTATCTAATGATCCATATAGATATGCAGTAACAACATCCATAAGGCGCATGTCAAGCCTCTCTGTGACTGCTAAACTGATCAAATATCTCAACGTGATTGCATCGATCACGGGGGAATATGTTTCATCATAACCAATTCCGGGTCTCTGTGAGAAACCTTGTGCAACTAATCGTGCTTTATATCTCACGATTTCATTTTTCTCATTTCGTTTTCGTACGAATACCCATTTGTATCCAACGGGTTTTACGCCATCCGGTGTTAGGACTGCTAGTCCAAATACTTTACGATTTTCAAGGGAATTTAATTCAGCTTGAATAGCATTTTCCCATTTTGGCCAATCATTTCTATGTCGACATTCTTCGACAGATTTTGGTTCGGGGTCCTCATTTACAATATCAATTGCAACCCCATAGGCAAAAATATTATCAATAACAACTTTATTTCTATCCGAGTTTTTTCTGGTATTCAAATAGTTTAAAGATATCTCTTCGGATATAAGTTCTTTCTCATGATCCTCTCCAGGGGCATCATGTACTTTAGACTGATCAATCACATTTTTCATAGCGCTTTCTTGTTCACAGATAATATTCTCTTCAGGAGAATTTACTTCTATTACCCTTTTCCTTCTAGGGTTCTTATCTTTTGCGCCAATAGGGCGCCCACGCTTCATGCGAGGTTTCATTATCTCTTCATGTTGTCCTTCAGGGACATCAACCCGTGCCGGGGTGTTTATAGCGGGTATATGAGATTTTGTTACCGTTTTCATATCGGTAAAAGCATCCGGCAATTGATTTGCAATATTTTGCAAATAGAGTATCCTTTTTACTTCTTTCTCACATTGGTTTGCGCGTGGGTCAAGATGAGACAAAGACTGTACATTCCATGTAATTTCACGCCGTTGAACTTGAACCGACGATCTTTCTCCCCCTAACGGCGGGAAAATTGTCTCATCAAAATGGCAATCAACAAATCTTGCCTTAAACAAATCACCCGTCAGGGGTTCAATGTATCTAATTATAGACGGGGAATCAAAACCAACATAAATTCCAAGTCGTCTTTGTGGACCCATTTTTGTTCTCTGAGGTGGAGAAATCGGAACATAAACAGCACAACCAAATATTTTTAAGTGAGAAATGTCTGGCTGCTGGCCAGAAACAAGTTGAAACGGTGAATACTTCTGAAATGAACTTGGTCTAATCCTGACCAATGAAGCAGCATGTAATATTGCATGTCCCCAAATAGAAGTGGGTAAATTAGACCGTAAAAGCAAAGGTCTAGCAATCAATTGCAATCTCTTAATAAAGGACTCTGCAAGTCCATTTTGAGTATGTACATGGGCAACTGAATGTTCAACATCAATACCAATTGACATGCAATAATCATTAAATGCTTGAGATGAAAATTCACCGGCATTATCAAGACGAATAGTCTTGATAGGATAATCGGGAAATTGAGCTCGTAATCTTATGATTTGAGCAAGAAGTCTAGCAAAAGCAACAGTACGTGTTGACA